TGAATGGTATCTTTTTGTTCTAAGAGAGGAGTTTTGTCCAAATAATGGGAATGACAGAAAGTAAACACAAAAAGTACTTTAGGAAATCATTCCATTGGTGAGTCTGCAAATGAACACCCATATATTTTAAAAAGAATATTTTAAATCAATGTAGACTTACAGAAACAACTGTTGAATCTTATATAACCAAAGTACAATGACCAAAGGAGAGATAAACAATGATTCAGTGCTGATAACTAGAGAGTCCATGAGGATTTGAATAGTATTTCCAGTAATGTCTTTTTTCTGTTCTAGGATCTGACCTAGGATTCCACATTGCATTTAGTTGATGCTTTCTTAGGCTCAGAGATCTTTCTCTTATTTTGTTTTCTGTCCACATAGGAAGGTCACCATCTGTGAGTTGCATGTTAGGAATAAACTTCTATCTCATCAAGTTTTTTTGTTTTCTTGTTAATTGTCTGCCCTGCCACATTCCATGGGAACAGGGATCTTGCCTATCTTTTTGGTCACTGTATCCTCAGAAGCTGGCAATTGTAGATCCTTAAATATTTGTTGAATGAATGAATGAAAGATATTAATTCATTTTGAAAAACAGGTGTGACGGAAGTAGAAAGCTCACCTCAGTATGCTGAAATATTCATTTCTTTGGAAAGCATATTTTGGCTGCTAGTTTTAGAAATATTGTTTTTTATAACTTAGAAATGTTTCTATTTTTAACATTTGAGGACAGGACACTTTTGTATACATTCCTATATTTCATTTCAAAGTGGCATTTGGTATCAATACTTTATGAGAATCATACTGCACAGGGTTGTACATGGCACAGAGCAACTCTTAAATGTCAGAATTATTATCATCACTGTCATCCATGGGGATGGATGCCATCCTTATAGCACCAATGAGGTCTGGGGTCAGGATACCCTCATGGGGTCAGGATGCCCCTGTAGTACATTTAGTTTGAAATATTCTTATTTTCTAATGTGGATACAGATGTTCCTAAAAGTTTATAAACTACATAAACTCCAGACTATAACAACTATTAAGAGTGTAGTTTTCTTCCATTTAAAAACTATTAAAGAGTATAAAAATGAGACCACAAAAACTGTTTAGTATAGCTTTGAAATTCTCACTGTTAACCTTCCAGTACAGGGCAAGAGCTTCTTTTCTCCATCAACAGGCACTGATTATGTTTTAGCAACACCTCACCAAGTTTGGTTGGACCACCTCAGAGGTTGATCTAAAACTGTGGAATTTTGGTAACCTCATGTAGTTAAAGGAAGTAGAAAACAGCTTATTTTAGTGCTTTTTTAGTGGTAGTGGTTTGTGTTTTTCTGCCTAACAAAAAGAGAAACAATTGTTTATAAACAAATAATGGCAGCATATTGTTTTATATAACATTTGAAAATAAATTACTTTTTTAATGAAAGAAGAAGTAAAGGGGAGGTTAACAGGTAAATTTTGAAGGGGGAAAAGAAACACTGATTTTGCAAGACATTTCAGAATTCATCTGCAAAGCTCCTGTCCAAGATGGAGGCATAGGTAGATACATTTTGCCTCCTTGCACAACGAAAGGAAGGATAGAAGGAAACTGAAAAAAAAAAATGGACCAGAATTGCCAGAAAATTGGACAGTATGGAATTCTGACAACAAAGTAGTTAAGTAAGAAACATTAGTCCAGACTGGTAGCTGGGACACTCAGGAACTGTCTTCACTCTCTCCTTTGAGGACTGTATCCATGGCAAAGAAAGTGGTTCCTGTTAGCCATTCTAATAGGGTGTTCATTATATTTCTATGTTAAGCTAAAGTCAGACATTAGAGACTTGTAAGAATTGAATATTCTTCTATGTTGTTTGATTCTGAAAGGTCTTCAGAACTTAAATGGTAGAGATATTCTGTACATATATATAATATATATAGCTTACTTTGCCTATTTCTTTGTATTGAGCCATATATTATGCGCTGTTAACTTGATTTTTATATGTGTTTTAAAACTGTTACCTGCATACACACACTGTAGTAGACCACTCTGCCTAGTTTTAGGAATTGTATCTCTACCCCTTGTGGCTAAGGGGAGAGTCAACCTTTGGAATGCCAGCCACGGGAGACAAAGCTTGTCTCTAATAGCAAACACTGCCTCAGTTCTTCTCCCTGACCCCAAAACTTGGTTGGAAGTCAATGATGGGTAAGAACCCTCACAGTGGGGGACAACCTAAGACAGACTCGATCACTTGGGAGGCCTTCATGGAAGGACTCAGGGGGCTGCAACAAAGAGCAATGGACTCTTGCCCCCTGGCTTTGACAAAGCCTGAGTCCCCATGTTCTCTGGGAGAAGCACTTCCTGGATCTAATCCCCTTAAGCCTGAATACCTGTTGGGGAGAGGTACAGCTCCTTGCCTTGCCAGAGTGTGCCCTGTGGAAAAACCTGGCATCACAAAGAGTTGCTGATAAACCTGTGAAATCTGCTCTGCTAAGAGTGCTTTCATTCATATGATAAGGGTCCGAGAGGAAATGAGTATGTCTCCCAAAGTTTCTGCAACTCTCTTCCTAACAGACACTGACTCAGACTCTGAAGCCCTCAGATATCTTTGAAATGCTATCTACTGTTTGATCCTTGTCACACTGTATTCCTGTGTGTTACAACCCAATAAAAGGCTATGGATGAGGGCGCCGGGGGCCTTTTTCTCCTTAGAGAAACTGGCCACTGCTGGCCTTTGTCTCCCCAGAGTAACTGGCTACAGCCCACTCCTCTTCCCCTAAGCAGATCCAGCATATCTCAGTCATTATTCACTCACTTGTGTCTGTGGAACCGGGGGCACATAGAGAAGCTGCCCCCACAACACACAAAATAAATACATACATATGTAAATAAATAAAATGCCATAAAAACGTGGTACAGAAATCGAGTCTGTGCTTTGTCATGACTTCATAAGTAATGCCATCCAGTTTTGTGATTTTTTAACCCATGCTTCAGGGATTACAGTTTTTTCATATGTTTATGAAGTTCTGCATTCTTTTATACCCCTGACTCTCTCTTTGGCTTAGAATATAAAATTGACTTGGAATATATCCCCCCCAACTTCCCAACTCTTTCTTGCACTCTGTGTGGTTATTATAGGTGCTCATTATAGCCTTCATGACATTGTAATTATTGGTTTATTTCTGTTTTCCTAAGTATCCTAAGTCCCTTTAAAGACAGGTCACTGACTTTATGTCTGTCACATGTGTATTGGGTAAATGAAGTGCTAAGAGTTCTGACATGGTGAGTCTTGTAAGCTTATACCTCTCTGGGAACAGTATGGTGTTGCTATTCTGTGGCTTTTGTTTTGATTGGGCATCCTCTAATGTTTTTTTTTTTCCCCAACAGCTATGAATCTGAACTTGAAAGAAGCCAGGAAGCTGCAGATGTCTCTGGGAGTGCATGTAACACAGCACAAAAAATGTTTACAACTCCAGTAACACCAACTCAGTATTATAGCGGTAAGCAGTTTTCCCCTTCACACCCATAGTTCTTCTAGTGAGATTTCTGTTCTGACAAAGAAGTGAATTAATTCGGCTTTGAATTCAGTTTCTACTCTGAGCACTCACAAAATGCAACTACTTGCTGTAACCTGTACATTGGTACATCTGTTGAACTCTATTGAGCCATCAGTTTAGTAAGACTCTAGGTTTCACTCTTTTTTTTTTTTTACTTACATTTAGAAATTCCACCAAGTTGTGTGAACCAGTTCTAGGGAACCTTTCAAAATTTAGCTCATATCTTAGGAAAATGCACCCACCATGAAACTTCCTTGTAGCCATTTTCAGGGACCTTAATGACTTCAGCGTCTTTACTCTTGCCAGGCTTTTCTGAATTCCTGCAGAAACTTATTTTAAAAAGCAGACATATTGGCCAGCCTACACCTTTTACTTTTCCTTCTGTGGTGTGTTTCAAGAAGAATTTCATTTCTGAACATTTAAAACGCCTGTTTCCATGGATTTCGATTTTTGAAGAATTTGACCAATATATGTTGCCCGAATGGAAGTGTTCTTTCTGCTGTACTAAGATACACATTTCTGAACTACCTATTGTAATGATTAATCTGTGAGTTGACAAAGTCAATGACCAAAGTAAATATGTATCTCCTTGTCTGTGTTTAGTTTCCAAATATGAAGATAGAAAAGGAAAACATAATAAAGAAGTTGAAGAACAGAAAAGATTAAAGGCAGAGGTGAAAACTTATTAGAGGCAAAAATAAGTTAATTAGAGGCCTTATAGCAGTGTGCATTTGAGAAAGTGCTTTCATATAGGCTACAATAGCAGGAGAGAAAAATCTGCTTGACATAGAGCTGGTGCATTTTCCGTACACTGAAAAAATTAAGTTCTTCATGCACTGGTTATATTTCCATTCTTCCTTCCTTGAAATAAAGGAGTTATATGTGATGGCCTTTTTGCAGCCTTGATCCAATAATATTCACAATTTTAGAAAAGAATTTTCTTCGCCAAGATTTTTTGTGATAACAAAAAAATGTGTTTCTTCTGCTTTCTACAGGGCATTTGAGTATAAATAGCTCAAATGTAGAGTAACGGTTAAAGGCATAAAAATATATTTTAAAGATTTTTCTAAAATTCAAACCAGAACTTTAAATGAACATGTATGACAGACCCATGGAGGGAGCCAAGATGGTGTCAGACTGAGGGTGGGAGGTGGGCATAGGTAGTGTGAAAGAAAGTGGTGACGGGTAAATGGAAACAACTATATTCAAATATTTTTTAAAAGTAAAAGTAAATAAATAAAATGAACATAGCTTAGTCGCAAATTTAAAAAATATTGCAAACATTAAATACTAAATATGTTTAAAAGGTAGATGATATTATGGACATGTAATAAAATAATTCTTCATTAAAAAAGAACTTTAGGAATGTGAGTAAACCTTTTGGGGGAGGTAAATTTCTACAGCGATTACATTTAAACACTCTAATATGGGACATTTATAAAGTTTTTTTTTTAAAGTCTCCTGGACAAAATTATATTATGGAGTCAGAAGAGTTGTCTTCAGGAAGTCTATATTGTATGTTTTTATTCTTTGTGAGTTAATAAAGCACACTTACATATTCCATTAGAGCTTAGGAATGGGAATGTGATGTGAATGTTAATATCTCTAGAACTTTCCAGCTATTTTTAATGTTACAGAGTTACAGCCATGAAACAAATGTAAGAGTTTATTACAGATTACCAAATTGTTTCCTCACCATTTACCCTGATCCAAATCTGTGATTTGATATCAGTTGTTTAAAAAGGCATTTATTTCTTTATTGAATGTGAAATTGCTTAGTTGCTTGAGACGTGCACTGGCTCACAGTGCCCGTGGCATCATGGATGAGACATGAGACAAATTCACAGGGACTACTGAGTCCTGTGGAGGAAAAGGGACGGCATGGCCACTCCCTCAAGGGGGGAGAACCTCAGAATGGCCTGGTCACCCACTCAAGGGGAGAGCAGCTTGGAGCAACCTGGCAACTCTCTCAAAGGGAGAGAGAGCACTGACCCTTGCCTAGACAGTCTCTTATTGTTTTTTTTTGTTTTTGTTTTTTTTTGCACAGGAGTTCAGGCACAACTTATCAATCATTGTCAGGCAGTAAACAGTAGACAGTATACAAAGAACCATTAGGGCTTCTCCTAAGTTAGGGTCTATCAGCTAAAAGGCTACAGAACTTTGGGAACATAAACTCACTTTTTGCTCAGGCCTTTATCATTTAACTAAAAGCAGTCTAAGCAAAGCAGGCTTCACAGGATTGTTAGGAATTCTTTCTCATGCCAGATCATCTAGGGACCTCACCATTCCCAGCACAAGGCTGCACCACCCTCTGTCATTGTTTTCAGGCTTAAGTCAGGCAGAGGAGGCAGATAGCCAAAGAATTCCCAGAGATTCCTCGAAGACAGAGGACTCAGACTTCAAAGCTGGGGGGTAAGGGTCCATCACTCCCTTCCTCCATAGCCCTCTAAGTACTTCCCTGGGGCCTTCACATGATCATGCCTGTCTTAGGTGATTTCCCCCTTGGGGAATCTTACCCATCACAGGCTAACTGATTAAAGCATTGGAGGCCAGTTATGGAAAAAGAAGAAGTGGCACTCTTGCCAGGGAGATAAGCTTTGTCTCCTTAGTGGCTTATGGTCCGAAAGTCCCTCATTCAGCCTTAGCCATGGTGGGTTTCAGTTCCTGAAACCAGGCAGGGCAGTCCCCAAGAGTTACTTATGACTTTGTCCTTGTAGTCTACCAGCTAAAGTACTAATGTTGCAGAGTTGAAGTGTCTTGCTTCATTCCCTCTACCTGCCATCGTATGATGCAAATGACAAGTAGAGAGGAGGCAGTAGGGGTAGTCACAGCAGCTGACCCATGTTTGACAGAGGACAGGAAGGTGATGTCCAGACATACAGTTTCTCTGAGAATCCAGATAGTAAATGTAGGCTTAAGTCCTTGGGCTGACAATCTAGTCGTAACACCTCACTACCGTCTCCTATTAAAGAATACCAGAAATGCTAACATGGAGGCTGAGCATTCTATGTGGAATTGGTTAGCATCATGTCTGATAATCACAAAGGAAAACTTATATTTAGGCTACCTGGACTGTTCCTAGAAAGAAAAAAACATTGAAATTTAAGTGCATGCCAGTGTGGACAATCATACAACTAGAGGGTCTGTCTTCATGACAAACACTTTTGCCACTGCCTTGGCCAGACAGGATACCCCCTGAATGTTTGTTTAACTGTGTTGACATTGGGATGGAGAGGAGAGAATGTCATAGGAAATATGTCATTGGAAAGGATGTGTGTAGTAGAGGCAAGAATCCAGTGTCTACAAAGCAAGAATTAAGCCTATTGGATCTTTCCTGATTCTCCCTCAATATTGAAATGCATTCTCATTATATATTACAGCCACAGGTTCTCCAGGGAAGAAGTGACAGCTGTGACACAAACAGATCAGAAGAAAATGCTTTGGAAAGCAAAGACAGAACATCCAAGCAGGATCTTCATCCAATCTGTGAAAGAGATGTCCAGCAGATCTCAGCCCAGATATGGAGAAAGTGACCAAGACTGAGGCAGTCATGCTGGTGGGAGAAGGTTCTCAGGAGCAGTCTCCAGAAATCAGTTCTGATTCCCTAGTGAAAGAAAAAGCCCAAGACTTGGCAGGGTGCATTCTTGAATCGTCACTTTCTGGTCCTAATGCTCTGGTACCTGTGAATTTTCTAGAGACTCAGGTAACCATTCAGACTCTCTAACTGAAGGTAAAAGAGACATCAAATGAGAATTTGAGATTACTTCACACCATAGAGGAACGTGACAAAAATGTTGAAATTTTGCTAAGTGAAATGAAAGAGTTAGACTCAAAACCCAATTTACAGGAAGCACAACTAACTACCAAGATTGAAACATGCAGAGAATTGGGGAAAAACAGTTGAGGAACTTTAGAAAGAATAAGACAGATTTAATGAGAAAACTGGAATGCTTTCCTTGTGATAACCCAGAGTTCCACGAGAGAGGTGAAATTTCAGCAGGCATAAACTCTAGTTTAGAAATGGCACAGCTAAATTGTCACCTGAAGTTACTGAAGATAATGTAGCTGAGATAATGAATGAAAATTGGAGAGAGAAAATTTCTCAATGTGGAAAATGAGCTGGAGAGGATCAAGTCTGAGAAAGGCAGCATCGAGCACTGTTCCTACTCTGTGGAAACTGACTTAGCGATAGTTCAGAGAAGCTACTTTTAGAAAAAGACAATGAAAACAAGCAGGGAGTCATAAATTGTCTTTAGGAAAATTCTCTGTTGTCACAAGTGAAAGAAACCAGCTTCATGGAGAGTTAGATGCTTTGTCAATGGAAAATAATGCACCTGATGTCTAAAAACATGAAGGAGAAAATACGAGAGCTGGAGTTTCATCAAGGAGTGTCTTTATCACATTGACATGGTGGAAGCTGAGCTGAAGGAAAAGACACAGCTCCTCCAGACTTTGTCCTCTGCTGTAAGAGAGCTGTTAAAAGAAAAAGTCCACCTCCAGGAGCAGCTGCAGAATTTGGAAAAGGACTCACAGGCACTGTCTTTGGGGGAAAATGAACTGAAAAACAAACTTGGACAGTTGAATAATGAGAGAAGCACTTGTGAGGGAATCCAAAAGCCTGTGGAACAAGTTACATGAATCGGAAGAGGAAAAGATGACTGTCACTAAAGCATTGCAGGCTGCAAGAATGGAAAAGGGCAAGGTCTCTGTGAGGCTGAGCTCAGTGCAAGATGAGCAGCATCAGCTGAGAAATGCCATGGAGACACTGAGGGTCAGCATGTAGGCTGATGAGAAGAACATCTTGGAGAAACTGAAAGAAAATGAGAGTAAGAATAATTCATTTCAGGATAAAGTTCAGAAACTTGAAAGCCAATTGCAGATGGCTGGAAAAATCCAAGAGATGGTGATTCTTCATGCCCAGTATTCTAAAGCAGTGGTGGAGACCCTAAAAACACAATAGGATCAATAACCAAACACGTGAAAGTTTTAGAATTGGACCTTGTCACGATTATGTCTGAAAAAGAAAATCTGACCCAGCAACTATAAGGCAAACAGGGTAAAGTGTCTGAATTGGACATGTTACTCTCTTCACTTAAATATCTCTTGGAAGCAAAGAAGAAAATAGGCAGATGCAAGAAGAATCTAAAGCTGCAGTGGAAAATGCTTAAAACAAAATTGAAAGAGCTGATGAAGGAGGTGGCAGCTTTGTGTGAGGACCCAGGAACCAAGAAGATCCAGGAACAGAGCCTGGGCTTCCCAATGCAGGGAGTGCACTAGGTGAGAAATAACATCAAAATGCTGAAAGTCCAAATAGATGATGATGAGAAGAAGCAGATACAAGTCTTAGGAAAACTGCATGAAACTAAGCAGCACGCAGATGTGTACAGGGATAGGGTTGAGAACCTTGAAAAAGAACTAAAGAAGTCCAAAAAAACCCATGAGCATGTGACTCAGGAGGCAGAGAACACCAAAGCAGGGGTAAAGAAGATAAAAGCAAAAATGGAGGAGATAGCCTCAAGTCTTAGAGATCTGGAAAAAGATCTTGGCAACATATAGTCAAAAAAAGAAAATCTGACAAAAGATTTACATAAAGAACAGGGTGAGTATCTGAATTAGAAATATTAAAACCTTCATTTGAAAATCAGTTGCAAAACAATAGCAGAAAAACATTACACTGAAAGAAGGATCCAAAATTGTTGAGGAGAAGCTTCAAGCACAATTGAAAGAGCTAAAGGAGAAACAGCCTGCCTTGAGTGATGACCAGGGGACCTGGAAGGCCAGAGAACAGTGTCTGAGTGCTCAAATAGCTTATCTTCAGCTTGAGAAGTGTCAGTTGCTTCAAGGCCTTGACCAGGCCAAAAGTAATTACGTTATTTTGCAATCTTCTGTGAATGGCCTCATTCAAGAAGTAGAGGATGGCAAAGACAAACTCAAGAAGAGGGAGCAAGAGATCAGTCTATTAAAACATCACATCCAAGACTAAGAACAGCGTGTCTCTAAATTGTCCCAGTGAGGAGAAGAGCCCCAAGTTATGAAGAAGGAAAAAGCAGGACTAGAGAGTCTGACTGTGGAACTGGAGCAGAAGATCCCTGGGCCACAGTTCAAAAGTGACACTTTGTAGGTACTATTTTTTTGGAACCATCATCTGCTACAAAGTACTGATGTATTCTTACAGGGGCCTGGAGAAAGCTTGAATTGATAAAAGTGGAAAAGCTATCCTATGTTGAAAGAGTAAGTGGCTGTTTCTACATTTGCATATGTTGTCAGGAGGGAGAGAAACCACTGGGTGAGTTGTATTTCCTTCTGGACAGTGTTTGCAGTATCAGGCCAAACTTTGTAAAGGCTTGATGAAGTTTACGGGTCTTGAACTTTGGGGATGTTAAGTTGCTTCCAGTAGTAGTGATGTACTCTTTGCTCTGACACACATTTGCATGGGAGTCTTCCATGGACTGGCCCAGGTTGTCAACGTGGCACCTAAACATGGGAAAAGCTGTGGGTTATGCACAGTTCCTGGTTCTAATCACACTTCCCTTTACCAAAATGCATCAGAATAGTGGCCTTCCCATGCTCAGGTGAGAACCACTGCTGTAGAGGGTATAACAGGTACCAGTAGGATCAGAAGGCATCCCCTTTGTCCTGGTTCTGTCTTTATGGCCTTCAGAAAAAGAAGTATTAACAATGGTGATCTAATTGTCACCAACAGAACCCTGGTGGCTCCCAGTGTGTGTCTTGGGGATTCTGTACTTTCAGTCCCACTCTTGTACCTTCTCGGCCTGCAGCCCCATTTTGTTCACTGATGATTAAAGGGAAGATCTGCCATAAAAAAAGCTCATCAATTAAATAAAAAATTTAAAAATTTGCCATTCATACTTGCTTACTGATCTAGGAAACTGATTCTTTCCAATTCCATTTTTGCTGGACAAACATTAAAGGAAAAAAGTTGTGCCCAGAAAACTGCAATGAGTCAGAACTCTATTTCCAAGAATTTCCATTTTGGGGATGGCTTGCAAGACATGGCAATTCTGGTGGAGATGATGAGAAAAAGTACATCCCACTGTTTCAATGTCATGAAGGAAATGCAAGCAATGGAGAGTCAGTTGGCTCTAACTCATCATAGCCATGTCTCTTGCAGTTTAGTATGGCAGTATAGGATTTGTAGAGATCCAAGAAATGATAAGCAGTCCCAGCTCTGAAATAAGCAGTTGATTCACAAACATGAGTACACCCGACAAATGGAGGGGGAGCTAAACCAAGTCCAATGAGGTCTAAGAATCAAATTCTCTTCTGTACAATGTGGGTTTGGCTGAGACCATGTATTTTGTCTTAAATATTCTGTAGAAACTGACATGGTTCTCAGTTCTGAGGAATAATCAAGAGTCCAAAGAAGCTGGATCTTCAATGAGAAGGAAAGAAAACCCAACATTTCAATGTAGCCAGATTTCCTAAGAATCACCCCTACACACACTTACCTTCTTTGAGATTTCTTTGTGGTTTTTCTCATTTGACACCAACCCCTTTTGTTGGAACTATCATTTGCAGATTTGTTTGGACCTGAGAAGAAGTCAGGGCACATTTTCTCAGGGCTCCTCCTACCCTAGGAGTGGAGACATGTTCTGCTTCCCATTGGTTTGAGTCCTCGAAGACATTTAAATGCTTATAGTGTGACAGATCATTGGTCATAGAATTTCCAAGTTTTTCCAAAGTTATTCAAGCTATGTCAGTATATCTTGGAAATAATTTATATGGGAAATAAACTATGATCAATTATTTTAAGTCAGAAGTTGTACTAGTCATCAGCTTAGGTTCTATATTTCTGTTTTGTGGTTGAGAAAGGGGATACTAAGTCCTAGAGTTGGTAGTTGAGGATACTTGAGCTCTGCTTTCCAATAGGCCAAGAGTGACAGAACTGTTGAAGTTAAGGCTGCTCCTCATAAGGACACAAAACATGAATGCATGTGCAAGTCCCACTGACCAACAACCATGATGTGTTGCTCAGAGGCTTTCAGATATACAACCACTCTAGGGAGTCAAGGTACAACCAAGAGGGTTCTGAAGTGTTAGAAGCAATTGTTTCTCTGGAGCCCAGATGGTGACTCAGAGGGGAGAAAGCATGATCACAGGCAGGAGATAGTGTCAGCTGTTAAAGAGTGACAAAGCCTCTAAACAGAGGTGGTCACAAGACATGTGAATACCTCCATGTAGACAGACTACAAGCACACATGTGCACATGCACAGCACAGCCATCATTAATGTCCTTTCTTCCCTCTGCCACTGCCTACTAGACACACATATGCCATCTAAGTGGGTATGTGGGAAAACTTACATGGTCCTAAGTAGTTCTCTGACATTACAAAAAAAATGACATTACTTGCATTTGTTTGTAATGTCAGAGACACTACCTCTAGTGCTGTAACTTTACAGTTGTATAAACCATCTGTTAGCATATGGCTGTTCCCGCCACACTCAGTGACCCCCAACTGAAGATGTGCCCAGCTGCCTGCCTGGGGCAGAGAAAGCCAAGGCCTCAGGACAGGATGCTGTGTGTGTGGGGGGGTGATGGCTCCTCAGGGTGGGGGATGCCTGCCAGCCCTGCAACATGTGAGCACAGCAGGAACAGACAGCAAATGTCTGGTGCTTCAGTCCTCAAGCTGGACTCTTAGCTCTTACAAGCTGAAAAAATCAAATGTGAACAAAGTCTGAGAAAGTCATCTCTAGTAAACACAGCAAATATTACATAGAGTGAACCTAATGCAAAGAGGCTCCCTCCGCTCTCTTGATTTAGACCCAAGTTTCAGGATATCATGGATTTCAAACCACTGGAAAAAAGGGGAAAGGGAAAGGTCACAACATTGGTGAAAGGTCACAAACTCCCAGTTATAAGACAAGTTCTGGGGAATCTGTTGTACAGCATGGTGATTATCGTTGATAACCTTTTTATATATTTGGCAGTTGCTAAGAGAGTAGATCTTAAATATTCTCAACACAAAAAAATAAATAGTGATTATGTGACCTAATGGAGGTATTAGTTATGGTGGTAATTATTTTGCAATATATAAGTATATCAAATCAAATCAACATGTTGCATACCTTAAACCTATGCAATGTTATATGTCAATCATATCTCAATGAAGCTGTAGGGGAAAAAGTTAAGATGAGGTCTAAGGGGAGTCCTAATCCAATGACTGGTGTCTATAGGACAGGAGAGGGGATTTGGATACAGAGACACAGGGCAGAGGGCCACGTGAAGACAGAGATGGAGACTGGAGTTACGTTACCACAAGCTAAGGAATATCTGAGGCCACCAGAAGCTGGTCCAGGCAATGGAGGATTCTTCCCTAAAGGCATCAAAGAGAGCATGGGTCTGCTAGAACTTGATTTCAGACCTCAAGCCTCCAAAACTGTGAGAGAGCAAATTTTTCTTGTTTTGAACTACAAAATGCCAGTTAGCAATTCTTTGCTATAGCAACTATAGGAAACTAATGCAGCATGAAACATCTTGTGCTAGAAAAAAATGCTCAAAGAATTATGGTTATATGTCAAAAGGACACAGGAGCTATCTCGAAGGTGTTCCCAGTGGCCAAATAAATAATGATGGGAATGGACAACAACCACCGACTAAAACAAAAATCCACAAATACACACTGATACACATACATGAGTGCTGGGCGAGGCAAAAAGCCAGGGACCCTGAGTGTTCCTTCTCATTCAGTGTGGCAGGCAGGCTCTGAGCACTCTCTACTTGAGCCTTGCTCAGGGTTGTGTGTGTAGTGGGCCACTTTCAGGGACGAGGTCATGTCTTCCCAAACCCTGACAAAGAGCAGGCTTGCTTCCACCTGCTATAAAAGTGGTAAATACCCAAAGCTCAGTCTTCTTCCCTAGAGCACAGCCCACTGCATATGCAAGAATCTACCTAGGCCCACCTGTGCCATCCCCAGTGGATTTGAGTTGGGACATGGGAAACCAATGCAAGTCTATGAAGCTCATGCAGTGTGCCATGCCAGGATTAATAAAATTCTTTGCTAAGACCCAAAGTCTTGTACCTCTGCCAGGATCCAAGAAACAGTAAGAGGCTAACTTATTAGTTTGGAAGTAGACCTTCCCCAGTTCCTGACAATGGATAAATAAATAAAATAGGGGCAGAAGAGAAACCCCAGAAGGGAATGACAAATGATAAACATAGAAAAAATTATGGAGTTAGAAATTCATTAATGGTTATTAAAACTAGAGGGTCAAATCTGATTAGGAAAAGGATACTTACATAGTCTCAAAGTATCTCCCTAGAAATTACTCACTAATTACAAAGGGAAAATAGGAGTCTACCAGATTTTTTTTCCTTTATAGGAAAAGGCAAATGATCAAAGATAACATAAGCAATACTAGGACAAATACACACCATGTTTCTCCTGGTGCAATGTACTAAGAGGGACATAATTCCGTGGAATGCCCCTTAAAAATGTATAGTCTAAATCTAATTATCAAGAAACATCAGATAAACCCAAAATAAGAGCCACTGAACCAAACCACTGGCCTAAATTCTTCAAAAATATCATGATCAAGACAGAAAAAGTAGAGAAACTGTTCCAGATTAAATAAGATTAAAGAGACATGATCACTAGATGCAATGCATGATCCTGGATTGGATGAGAAATTAAAATTTTGAAAAATAACTACAAAGGACATTTTTTCAGGTAAATGATAAATATGAATATGAACTATGGGTTTGGCAATAATATGGCATCAATGTTAACATTCCTGATTTAGAGGAAAGAGAACTGTTGTACACTGTTGGTGGGAATGTAAATTGCCATTCCCACCAACAGAGTGACAGGTAACAGTATGAAGGTTCCCCCAAAAATCAAGCATAACTCCCGCACGACCCAGCGATCCCACTTCTGGCTATGTATCTGAAGGGAAATGCAGTCATATCCCAAAGGGGTATCTGCATCCCATGTGCATGGCAGCATGCTTCACAATAGCCCAGACACAGAAACCATCTAAGTGCCCATCTACACATGAATGGATAAGTAAGACATAATTTAAATATACAATGGGATGTTACTCAGAAATGAGAAAGTAAATCCTGCCATTTGTGACAGGGTTGACAAATGGATAACCTGGAAGACATTATGGTAAGTAAAATAAGCCAAACAAAGTATTATATGATCAGACTTATATGTGGACTCTAAGATAATTGAAAACTCAAACTCAGAGAAGTAAAGAGTAAAATAATGTTTACCAGAGGTTTGTAGTGGGGGTTGGGGAGGGGATGGGAAGATGATAGTTAAAGGTTACAAAGCTGCAGTTACATAGGATGAACAAGTATAGAGATCTAAACTGTACTAGACATACACTAAGAGAGGAAATATCAGATGCTCCCATCACAAAAATATTAACTATGTGAAATGATATAGTAATTAGTATGACTGAAATAATCATTTCACTGCATTTATCAGATCATCCTGTTGTACACCTTAAATATATACAATTGATATATATGTGTATCTATATCTGTATCTACATGTCTGTATATCAATGCCCTGCAGGGACTCTGAGCCCAGGGGTTCTCGGAAAAGAAGAACAATTTCAAAAGAATTCATAACACCAAAAAAAAACACAAAAAATAAAAATTAAAAAAACTTAATGTCCTGCAGAGACTGAGCCCCAGGGTTCTTAAGATTTAAAAAAAAATTTTTTTCCAAAGATTTCATGACAAAAAACATACAGAACAAAAAACCCCAATTTTGATGACTATGGTGTAGTTGTGTAAGAGAAGATACCTGTTCTTAGGAAAAATTGAAGCATTTAGTGGTAAAGAAACATGGTATCATCAACTTATTTGAAAAGCTTCTGAAAAAATTTATATGTATACATATATGTATGTATAAACAAAGTATGCTAAGGCAAACAAAAAACAATTGGTGTTTCAGTTAAAAGCCATCCAAAAGTTCCTTGTATTATCCTTGAAACTTAAATATATATAAATATATATATATAGTAAACATTAGTTAATAATAATGTACTTTTATTAGTTATTACTTAATAATAATGTATTATATACTTAAAATTGCTGAGAATACATAATCTTTAAGGTTCCTTACTACTCTGACATTTTAAGGTTTCATGATAAATGGAACAAATTTCTTTCATACTAGTAATTAATATGTACTCAAGAGATAATTACTATGAAAAACATTGAAAGTTGCTTAATTCATTCACTGCTGAAAAGTGTGGCCTAAATATTTTTACTGAAAAGAAATATGCACAATTTGTATTTTAACATGGTACTGATCCAGCCTTTATCCCACTGAAACACCTATCAAAAATGGTTTAAAAAATTTAAATAAAGTAGCAACCCCACCTTTATTAAATTCTTTATAGATCTTCTCCAATAACTGCATGAGGAAAAGAGAGTACATATGAGTGAACAACATCCAATGCTCCCAATGTTCAAAGGAATTTCTGCTCCCACTGGATTCCCTAGCACTTGGCTGCTACTGTTTTGTACTATTAATGACATTGAGGTGTGTTTCATCTTCTCTAGTATACTTTACAACACCCAAAGGCAGGAGCATGCGTTATTCATAGTTCATTCCTATCGCTAAGCATTTTGTACTCACACAGAAGGGGCTCATTAAAAAAAAAACAAGAGATACCTACTATTTCTTAAGACAATAATGATGATTTGATGTTAAACTCAAATTCTGAAATAAACTGAGTTTGTATGTGGTTGAAATTATCATTATGCTTTTAAGAAGTGCCTATAATTCAGAGATGTTTTCAGTATTAGTAGCTGGCTGGTTATGTGAATGTTTAAGCAATAGTATTTTTATGTAGATAAATATTGTGATAAGTTTAGAATCTTTTGACTTGAGAAAATAAAACTTAAGAACATTACTTAAGCCTAAGTTTAGATTTAAACATTGACCTGAAAGAAAGATGTTGTGTTTTGAGGAAGTGCTATGTATAATCATTAAGCCTCACCTGAGGAGTCCAGCCTGGATCTAGCTTTTTAACTGCTGCAATATACTCCTGCACTGCTTGGCTCGGGCTTGAACCACCAAAGCCTTTCCATGCTTCCCTATGGGGTAGGATATCCAAAATGAACCATCATTAACTATGTAAGTAGCACAAACAGCATGTCTCTTTTTATTTAAAAAAATATTTACAGGCTGGGGGATGTGGAAACAATAAGCCATAGACGAGTAGCCCTCACTTTTTGCATTTATACTTTGCGCAGCAATACGCCCTCTCCTATGAAATTTTAGTAATCAAGATACATTGCATTTCTGTTGAATTCTGGAAGATCACAAACCATTATAATATTTTAAGATTTTATAATTCCCCCAAACCAACTTTCCCCTCTATGAAAAATGTCTGATCTACAGACCAAAATTCACTACCTTGTGAATTAACTGAGCCTTTTGGCAATGCAGAAACTAATCCTCACAGAAAACAACATTTCCTGGAAAAGTGCCCCAGGCTTCTTATTTAAGATGTAAGAACTATGCCTCCCCCTTCTGCTGTCTTCTCATCTATAAGCTGCTGGCAGTAGGTCCTGAGGTCTCAGGCAGGGACTTCAAAAGTGAGGGCTCATGAGGACAGAAGTAAAAATACCTACACACCAGTAAGAAGGTAGTTTCATGCAGTATAAATAACAAGAGTAATATTTTAGTCTTCTTTTCTGCAACCTGCCAGGACAGGGTCCTGCTTGGTCTTCCCCTACCAACTCTACTTCCAACCAGCAATTAGACCCACTGATCCACTATGAACCAGCACTTAGTCCCATGAGCACTTAACCATCTTTCTGCTCATGTGATAAATATAACTAACATCTTTTTAAGGATAATCAATCTTTATTTTTTTTCCCATTACCATTTAGTCCCCTTATACCTCTCTCCCCCTCCCGGCAATGAGGATTTCTAAATTTTTTTTTACTGAATCTCGAGAGTTCCTTGTAGACATCCTAACACTTTAACCCTAAATATATCAGCAAATATCAAATTGAGAAATTTAACATCAATACAATCAGATTTCCCTGATTTGCCAATAATTTTCTTCATAGCTTCCTTTTCCCAGAACAGGAGCCAATCAAGATTCATACATATCATTGAGCTTCATGAATCTTTAGCCTTTTTTGTCTTCCATGACAATGATATTTTTAAGAGTCCAAACCAGTTGTTTTATAAAATATCCCTCGATTTGGATTTGTCTGATTGTTTCCCTACCTATAGTATTCATGCCAAAAACTATTAATCATTACTAGGATCAGGTTAAACACTATGTCAGGAGCAGTGTACAGGCGACATGTCCTTTACAATGCATCCTGTCAGAGGGGCCCTGATTATCAGTCCCTGCCATCATCAATGACACCACTGAGGACCTACTAAGAGCTGTTTTCTTATTTGTAACTAGTAAGCAAATTGTGTGTCGGATTGAATACATATTGCTCCCCGGTAGTTTTTCAACTAATGGTTTTATCATCCAATTTGGATTTTTGCCTAAGCTGTTAAAGCAGTTGTAAATCTAAACTTTTTTGAATTGCTAAAAACAATTTAAAAATAGGCAGGAATAGGGAAAAATAATGAACTTATGAAATTTCATAAATTAAAACCAAAAAAATCACAATAAAAGTTACATCAGATATTCTCTACAACAGTAAAAAAGAGGAGTTAGAGAACTATCCGCCACCACTGGCAAAGGAACCCCAGGGCCTGGCAGAAAGCTGAAGCATTGCTTCCTTCCCTGAGAGTGGTCTACACACACACCCCAGCCCAGGAAACAGGGAAACAGGGTGCTTGATGCGGCGACTGATTTCCATTGGACTTTGAGCTCTTCATCTCCTAATGGCTGGGTAACGGACAGCTCACAGACCAGCAACTTGTCCAGGGGACCATATTTTGAGCAGCACTGCTCTAGGGTGTAAACTTAGAATCCATTTTTACCACTTCTCTCTGCAACCATATTTCATTTTTAAAAAGCATCTATGCATTTAATTCCAGAGCTAATGCTTTGAAAATTCCTTCTTGCTATAAATGAGATACTCTATCATATGAAATTTCTCATTTTACATTTAGACAATGTAAGAGCAAATAAGGCCTCTTATGGTAAAAGGGAACCTCTGAATTATAAGTAAAAAAATACGGTGAGGATATACTCTTTTTATGTACTCAGGAAAAAAGTGAACTCAGTATTTGTTTTTGTTTTTTTCCCCTTCTGTCCAAGAGGTTGTGGTTACCACTTCTTTACTGTGGTGGGTGGGGCAAGGAACAGAAGAGCTCTAGAGATGAGACACAATTGGGGCAGGAGAGAAGAGTAAGAAATGGGGATTTACCCTGCTCTTCTCACTTCTTGGCCTTTTGGCCTTCTTCCAAAGACCCCTCCAGAGGGAGAGGTGGTGACTATATGACAGGAGAGGAAAGTCTCCAGCAACAGCCCCTATGGTCACTCTAAGAAGCCACACTTTTATAAGGAATGCATTGAACTACTTACATACCAACATCACAGCACAAGCTTCCTGCAGGAGACTTAGCTAAAATAGGATTCTTTTAATCTCTCTTCCAATTACGGGCCCTGAGCAGTATGCAATAGAGAGATTAATATAAAAATAATTATTAATCAGCTCACCACTTTCTAATTCCTAAACTCCTAAACCATGTCCCACAACCTCAAAAGATTCCAAGAATTTCTTACCATTTTTGCCTTTCTTCAAAAGCAAAGAAGCTTGGTTTAGGAGTATTGTAATTTCCAACTATGACCTAAATAAAAGGGGGGGGGGTCAAGAACTTATTTTTCAAAGAAATACTAGATAAATATTTTATTTTCAAATTTACTATGTGTACTTAGAAGCTACAGGTTAGAAAATATTTGCATCTATACAGAATAAAAATATTTAACATCTTTCCAAAAGCAAATAAAAACACAAACTTTAAATACAAGCTCATTTTGCTTATGGCACTAAACATTATGTAATACCATAATACATTAAAAAATATAGGTGACAGCTGCATTCCTAAATTAACAAGTTACCTACATGGCAAATTAGAAATAAAGATTATGCAATCCTACCTACCACTTATAATACAGAATTTTAAAACATGCAATAAACTTTAAAGTACAGTTTATCCTAATTCATAATATTGTTTATTTATGCTGATACTCATAATGCTATGGGCATTTTATCTCTCCAAAATTCCAGGATAAAACACTATTTTTAAAGTGCCCTATTATGAAACTAATCAATATAGATTTACACATTGGAAGCTGTGCAAAAATTTCAAAGGTTTCTCCACAATGTAAATTTTATCTATTCCACAGTAACCTTTTCTTGATTGCAGCCAATGGTTATATTTAATCCAGTTAGGCTGCACAGTAATTAACGAGCTCCATTTGGGAACAAGCACAAAGGAAACTGACACAACTACTGAATTCATGAGCCGCTGCAGGAAGCAGTGGATCTCCCTTTCTGAGGACCTCTCTTAGCGCTTACTCTGTGGGATCCAATCTGTGATCGCAGTTGTCACTCTAACTTTGTGTCGGAAAGTTCTGTGTAAAGTCTCATCTTTCTGTTAGAATACAACCTATAAGAAGCCCTTCTTAACTCAATCACTGTACCTGATACAGTGCCTAACTTAAGGTTGTAAAAAATGTTTGTTGACTATAGAATGAATGTATTAGGTACGTGTTCAGCAAAACACCTACTTTTCCTAATGCTAAATACCCTAATCTGACCCCAATCCACTTCTCAGGGACCTTCCCAGTACCTCCCATTACTCTTTTACACTTGAATTTTGCTAAAGTCAAGGAGATGGTCTATTCACTCACTGTATTAGTCTACTCACTGCCTTACATATTTTTATTCTGAGTTTTGTTCAGTGTAATTCCCCTCACCAGTAATGACTTCTTTTCTTTCCTCAGCTTTTCAAAATACTACAACTCTAACTCAAGACTCAAAAATCCTTTTGGTCCACAATGATCTCATCCATCTCTGAAATCGTAACAGTTATCATCTCTACCATTTGCTTAGCAATCCGTCACAATTAATCTGGTTGTTACTAAAGCATACGCTCACACAGGAGCAGCCCTGTGAGGATGGACCCCAGGGAGGTGAGAGAGCAGCAGCTGCATTGGTGGCACGAAATCTCCACCTATGCTGTGTCAAATGGGCCACACATTAGTGAATCCTAATCACTAGTCAGGATGTGAATTCAGGACTTGTTGACTCCAAAGTCCAATGTTCCTCTACTATAACTTTCCGTTTTACACATTACACAGAATCTAGTCTTCAATTCTGGCATCTCTAAAATCACCTGAACTACTGCACTGATAGAAATATGAGATAAGATTAACTATTAGACTTCATAGTAATAGCTATCCATTACTACTTTTGTTGTTCAACCAGATACCAGCCAGTGGCAGAAACAAATACCCGGATGTAGTCCCCATTTCTCCCACAGTAATAGGAGTCTATTACTGTGACCAGACACACAGTGACCTAGCCAACCATTACACGTAGCCATGCAACTCCTGCCCAGGAACAGGGGCGCGAAGTGTGTAAAGGTGATATAGATACCTTTCTTAAAAAGAAAGGGGGACTCGTCCTTCCCTCTCCCTGTGCCCTGGCTAAAATATGCATGTGGCAAGGATGAGCCACCTCTGGCCACAGAGAGAGGATCTGAGGGCAGTAGCTCTCCAACTCTCTGGTCTCAGGATCCCCTTACACTTACAGGAACTGAGGGCCCCAAAGAGCTTTTGTTTTTGTCTATTGATATTTATCATATTAAAAATTAAAAGACATTTTATATACATATGTTAATTCATTTAAAAATAATAAACTCATTACACAGTAACATAAATAACAAAATTTTATAAAAATAACCATATAGTCTAAAGCAAAAAAAATAGTGAAAAAAGTGACATTGTTTGACATTTTGCAAAGTCTCTTTAATGTCTACCTGAATATAGTCTCAGAAATCTACTTCTGCATTCAATCTACTGCAATATGTTGCTTTGGTTGAAGTATATGAAGAAAATTCAGTTTCATACAGATCTGCTGTTAGAAAAGAAAGAAGTATTTTAGTAGCATTTTCAGATAATTGTGGATATTCCTTGTTGATACTACACCAAAATCTAACTGGTGGCAGTATTTTCAAGGTTACTTGCAATCTGGAATCTCAAGTGATTATCAGTGAATTTTTCATACTGTTATTTTAGAATCCATTGGTCTGGCTTGCACTTTAAAAGGTTTTTACCCACACATAATTTGAAACACTGTTCGATGCAGTATTTGGGAAACATGGTTACTGAGTTATGCAAACCTTCCAAATATTGATCACCACTCATCTCACCAAAAAAGTTAAAATTATGAAGTATTAGGAAGCTGTCAAGCTCATGTGGCAGATTTTCCAAACTCCTAATTTTCACTTGAGAGCTCAAATGTTATCATCAGCAACAAATACTTTCAGTTGTTTTCCCTAAAGTGATGGGCTCACTTTGTTCATTTTCAAGAAACTTTCTGCTAGCCCATGGCTGGTGTAGCTCAGTGGATTGAGCGTGGGCTGAGAACTAAAGGGTTGCCAGTTCAATTACCAGTCAGGGCACATGCGTGGGTTGCAGGCCTGGTCCCCATGAGGAGAGGCGTGAGAGGCAACCACACACTGATGTTTCTCTAACTTCTCTTTCCCTCTCTCTGAAAATGAATAAATAAAATCTTTTTTTAAAAAAAGAAACTTTCTGCTAAATACTCAAATCTGAATAAGCATAGTTTATCTGAGAGTTGTTCTATTAAGTAAAAGTAATGTTTCCTAAAATAAAAGTGGGTAGCTGAGCTTGGAACTCAAAAAAATTACATATGTACTTTTCCTTGAAGTAGCCAAATAATTCCATGGGTAGCAGACGTGCTCTGTGTGCACCCCTACTTCATCACACACAGGACTGAAGGGGCTTGTACTCAGGAGTTCATATTTCATAAGAATCAGAAATTTTTGCTACATCAACAGAGCACTGTTAAGTGACACTGGTTTTATGTGTGTGTGTGTTTACTCTGAGTGCATGGTGGCAAAGAAATATGACTACTAGTACACTTTAATGCCACTGCCTTGATCCATGCTGATACATCAGCAGTTTTATAAACATGGCAGCACAGGAAAAAGGCAAATAGTGTCTTGGTGTTATGAAAATAGTTTGATCTTACAGATCCCCTGAAAAGGTCAAGGCATTCCCTGCAGTCCATAGACCCTAATTTGAGAACTGTTGCCTCAGGGGATGGATGAACTCCAAGACAAAAAAAGACCAAGCCCCTGAGTGATCCCACTAAGCAGAACCACCCTATTAATCCTAGGTCACCTACCTCCAGGCCATTGTGTGAGCTGAAAATAAAAGCCCAGCAGCTGATCGTATCCCAACTGACAGAGCTTTTGTGTTATCAAATTCAAAGAACAGTTGTGGATCCAGAAAAGACTGAGAAAATAAAACTGTAGGAATTTAGGACATCATGAGTAACAGTTTTTAAATCATTAGATAAGGATGCATGATATAAAGCAGAGTCATAAAATGTACCACTTTAACAGAGCATCCAAACTCTGTTTTCTGTGATATACAGAATATAAGATATCCAGTGCCCTTGAAATAGTGTATTTCAACAAAGGTTGTCAATGGAAAATGCCAGTGTACCCAGGGTAAAATAGAAGTGCATGAGTAGTCTAACTTGCACTAGTGTTGAAGGCTCTGATACAATGAAGCCGAAAGGGGTCTGATATTTTCACTGTCCTATTGTTTTCATAAGTGTTAATTAGTTACCTTTTACTGGGAGAATGTAAGCTATTGAACAGAGGAGGGAGAAAACCTGTTCCTTGGTGTGATCTTTTTAAAATTTGACTAAAAGATGATTTTGTAGCCATAAGCTTATCTGAGACTAACAAAGCAATTAAGTTTAGAGATCTGCCTGAGAAAAAAAGACATTCATGTCTTAGTTTATTTTTATCACCTTTCTGTTGACAACCCTACATCATTCAGCCAAAAAAAAAAAAAAAAATAGGGTGTTATTTGAAATACAAATGTAACATTTCACAAAAAATTGTGATCCGCCCTGTAGGAATTATGTTAGAATTTCAAATTTCTTATTCTATAAAGGATGCTATTTTTAACACTGACTCAGCATTTTGTTAAAAATAAGATATCTAGAAGATACTGATGAAAACTATGTCTGATGCTCAGTAAGCATAATCTTAATCTCTAATAATGAAGAATTTTATTTTCCACATACAGAGTATCTCCAGACACACCACCATCAAGTTCTTGAAAGGGTGAGGGACCTGCCTCTTCCAGACCATCTGGATAAAATGAGTAGTCCTGAGACAGAGTGGTTGACAGGTGACTGTAGTTCACTGATGCCTTAAAAATCAGATCTTCAGCGCTGGTGGATGTGGCTCAGTGGATTGAGTGCCAGCCTAGGAACCACAGGGTTGCAGGTTCAATTCCTAGTCAGGGCACATGCCCGGGTTGCCAGCCAGGTCTCCAGTGTGGGGTGTGTCAGAGGCAACCACACATTGATGTTCCCCCCTCTCTCTCTCCTCCCCTTACCCTCTCTCTAAAAATAAAATAAAGTCTTTTAAAAATCAAATCTTTAATAATGATGACACTGATATCTGTAATAAAAATATACCCTAGAATTGAATGTTCTCTAGGGAATTTGGAGAAAATTAATCTTATACTTCCCAGAGAATCTTGCTACAGGTCCTAGCACAATGTTCAAAAAATTCTTGTTAAATAATCAAAACTCTCATTTTAATGTTACTAAGACAGGGTAAGTGATCAGAAAGAAAATAGATACCCAGAAGTTTTGCAAGAAAGCAAATTTCAAGGCCAATTTAAGGGCAATTTTCACTCCACATTATGATTTATACCATTTGTGTCTGCAACCCTATCTTTCAGGTCAATTTAACTAATATCCATTAATCTTCAAAGAAAGGTTCATCTGTATTCAGTATATTCAGTTGAAGAATACAGAGAGACCCCATAACGGGTTTTTTTACATACGGAGGAACAGATACCAAGAGGCAAAACAAAGGCTTTCAAATATACTAAAGTAAAATGGGCTATTAACGAACACTTCATTGTTTCCAGTGTTCTAAAGAGCTGGAGTTTCCGTGAATTGTTAACTTTGTCAGCAAATTTTCAGTGTTCAAAGTTAGACTCCTCAGGTAAGTCTCTTGAAGGCAAGTATCATGATCTCCTGCTTCTTTGCATTCCCTGTAGGTGTAACACTCCAGTGTTTCGCACATAAAAGATGTTGAACGAGTATTGGTTGATTGTAATAGAGCAATTATTTTTTTCCTTCTTGTACTCAACCCAATGCTCTTTGAATGACAAATTAAATATGAGTTATATGATAGTATCATTTTTATTTCCACACTTCCAAGTAAACTCCAGAGGCTTAAAGTCGGGAGCTACAAGCTAGTGCTAGTTCTGACTGATTTATCTGTATGACCCTCAGCACTTATCTACTCTCTTTGGGAATCCCTTTCCTTTTCCTTAAAGAAGGGTATTATTTCATCTGGTGTTGTAGAGCTCTAGAATTGTTATGACTGTATCCAAGACAGAAGCATATTTAAACCCTAAGGTATTTAGTCTTTAAAAAATCACAACAATGGCATGCCTTTCGTATGGCATGCCTCTTTTAGTACAATCATATCACTCCCTTGAACTGATATGTTTAAGGCATAATACATTTTTTTACATTACATCCATATGACTCTTTAGCAAGAGTGAATGACAAATCTTATTTTGTCATCCTCATCTTGTAAAGTTTCTAAAACCGGTAAAAGCGTGAGTGCAAGGTCACTGAGCAAGTCAGAGAAGACAGAAGAACTGCAATTCAGCGTCCAGCTAAGCATCACTCCTAGGATAGCAGACAGGTCCTTTCCACTTCCATACTAATCTTTCAGTGATGCTAATCTTTCAGGGATGATGAAAAAACAAACGAAACAGAACCCACACACACTTCACGACTAGCCTTTTACCAAGCAGGTTACTATTAGCTTCTGTTGGAAAAGAGAAGGCCTCCTGGCGCTCCCGGCATCCGCCCCTTGCCTGAGACTTTACCTGCTTTTACTGGGCGTAAAGGTAGCCGAGCTGCTCCCTGGTGGCCACGCGAATCAGCCCTACATTCTCCAACAGCTCGGTCAGGCTCCAGCAGGCCTCTGCCTCGGGACTTCAACTAATCCACCTCGCGGACGCCCCCGAGCTCAGCTCCCCACCGCTGTCCCCCGTGGTGGTCCCTGCGGCCAGGAATGGAGAGGCCATGGGTCCTTGCCCTGGGCGAACCTTTCTGTGGCTCTGTCCTCTTCAGGTTGGGTGTGACCCGCTCCGGGGCTGGGCCCACCAGACTGGTTGGAGTCTGAGCTGGGGTCAGGTTGCAGCTCACTTACTCACCGCTGCCCTCCCTAACCCCGCCTCCCTCCCATTCTACTCCGGGACGTACCGGAGAAGCTCCGCTTCCCGCCCCTGATCTCCAGGGTCGACCAGCTCTCCTCCGCCTTCCGGGGGATAACTGCAGGGTCAGGCTGACCTGGGAGCTAACTAGGCAGCCAAGTGGGGATCCTGGGGAGGAAACGGTAGCCGCCGCTCGCGCCCGAGCCCGCGCGGGCTACAGTCTGCGCGGTTGGGGATGATAACGAACTTGGTCTCGTCGTTAGGGGGCACTCGCGCGACCTTGCTGGGGAGACACTAACTGAAGACCTTCCTCTCCCTTGTTGTCCCATAATCATTTAGCTGGAATTGGTAGTTACAGATTCAAGAACCATTCACCGAACAGGCCACCGGGATAAAAGAAGGAGGCCTTGGATTTGGTAGTGAGGCCTTAGGGACCGAGGTGGGAAATAAAGGTGAGGACTAAGGTTCCGCCTGCGCGCCCACCTCTGGGATTTTGTGCCCCAGGCGACCCCAAAGAGGCCTGGGATCTCTGAAACTGTTGTTTGAGAGTTTGGCTTGAAGAAATAAAATGGAGTCACTCTACTGGACGGCTAAATACTGAAATCAAGTAGTTGAGTTGAAAGGAAATGCTTCTATTCTTGTTTTTAACTAGCCCGCAAAGTTTTGAAACTTCCCAGCCCTGTGAAAATGCCTGGCTATACATTACACTTCCAGACAAACTTCTGATAGCCCCCCAGAAAGGCAAACAAAAAAGTGTTCACTTACCCAGACCACCAGTCATGTAGAGAATTCACTGTCCAGAGGCGAAGAATGCAGGACTAATTCATCTGAAAAATGTACTTTTACTATAAAAACCCTAAGCTCTTTTTTCTCCTTCTGCCCAGTTGTATTTTTGGTTAAAACCCTAAGACTCTTGCATGCATATCTTTTATTTTTAGCCAAAGCCTCCTGATTTCATTTTTGCTCAGCTGACAGGCTCTACCTTGAATAATAATGAAAATTTGGGAGACGGAACATTCGTGGCCCAAACTGTGATTGATTAGTCAACTCTTGTATGTGTCTTCCTTTGCACACTTGCGGAACCCCCCAACTCTCAGTAGGACCCCAGTTCCTGGTCCTCAGCATGGCTCGCCTTCCAAGTTCAGCAGTCTTTGCCACTGTGATTTCCAGATACAATAAAGTGAAACCAAAAAGGAAGCTGTAGTTCTGCTCTAAGGAACGGAAAACAATCAAGCGCTATAACATGTTTATAATAGTTAATGAGTAATGTGTCCTAAGTATTTTAAAAAACCTATATTCCGTTAGTACTCAAAGCACAGTAATAAGCACCACTAAATGGTATAAACAAAGTGTTCTAAAGAACAGTTATTGTCCCTTTGAGGTTAGGCTTTAAAAGTGTCCACGAGGGTAGACAGGATGAGAGGATAATGAGAAAAGGCAGGAAGATGAGAAAGTTTGGATCAGGACTCAATAAACATTGCTTCAGTACTGTTAAAATTCATTAAAAAAAAAAGTAAAACCCATGAATCAAGTTTTGCTTATGGCTTTCAGAGGCATAGGTAAACGCAACTCAGGTCACGTTAGCCTCATTTGCCTTGCAAAGTAAGCTAAATTTGCTGCTCTTGTATGAGGAAACTAGATTTGTCTGCTGATGAATTTTCAAGTCTGCTGTCCATTTGAGTTTGATTTTTTTTTAATACTTATTTTTAGAGAGGGGAAGGAAAAGAGAAAGGGGCAGAATCAATGTGTGGTTGTCTCTCACATGCCACCTACTGGAGACCTGGCCTGTAACCCAGGCATGTGCCCTGACTGGGAATCAAACTGGCTACCCTTTGGTTTGAAGGCTGGCACTCAATCCACTGAGACACGCCAGCCAGGGCCCATTTGAGTTTGATGTTAAGAGTATCCAGATGTGCCACTCTTAGTCCCAGCCTCAACCCAGGCTAGGGATGATTGAGGACCAATTCATGTAATTGAAGGAGGGTGAAGAGATTAGCCAAAGAACATATGCACATAACTAATAGATACAGGCAACAGTGTGGTACCAACCAGAGGGAAGGGGGTGGAAAGTGAGTGGAGGGGGGCAAAGGTGGAGGAAATGGGGACATCTGTATTAATGCCAACAGTAAAAAAATATTTTTGCAATTAAAAAGTGATAACTTATTAAATCCCCTACTGTTTAGGGGACTTAATTCTTACTACTTTAGGTAGGTAGAGTGATTTCCACATTGGTCATAGGAAATCATCAGGGAATGGTCAAGCACAGTTAATGAGTAGGGAAGCAAGGTAGAGAGGCTAAGAAGAGATGCTATTAAGTAGAGAAGCTAATTAGAAAAAAAACCTCTGATATTCTGCCCTGGTCCTCACAGCTAAGGCATGTTGTTCTCCTATCAGATAGAAATAATCTCACACAATACCAAACGCAAGTCATTCTGAAACATGATGAAATAAGATAAAGCAGAGCACTCCATAAGTTTACCTAAGCACAGACAAAAACAAGATCACTCTGCCAACCATAAAATATCAAGCCACCCTCTTCTTGTCCATGGCACACAGCTAAATCTTTATAGAACAAATGAATGGGTGAATGTGTAGAAGACACAGTCATAGTTCTTTCGGGCAGCACTTTTCAACCTCTCCCGTCTCATGGCAAACATAAAGTGATTACTAAAGTTCGGCAGCACAACAAAAAATATATTTTTTGCTGGTCTGACAACAAAGTAAGTATAATTTTGATTCATTCACACTGAACAGCTATTTTGGGGTTGGTGTTGCCACTTTTTCTTTGACAATCTATAGGGGAAAAGGTCAGTGCATGTTTAAAAATTCTCACAGCACACCAGTGTGCCACAGGGACACATGGATTGAAAATTCTTGCTTTAATAGAACATGGATAAGAGCAATAAAATATTGCAAGTGATATGGGAAAAAAAACTTCCAGGCAGAAGAAGCAGTTTGGGGCAAAAGCAATGCTGCTTGTTTTTGCTTAATAAATAAGATTCAGTAAGCAAACAGCAGGAATGTGGTTAGCTACTTTCCTCTCTCACCCAGCATAAACTAAAAATTGGAATATATGTTAACCTACTCCTAAGAGGAAAAACCTTCCTTAACAAACACTGCATTATTTTTGCAAATATTAAAAGAATAGCATTTTTATAGGCCAGTGGTTTATTTTTTGTCACTAAATCAAATTGACCATATTTATTTAGGACATAATCTTCCACGAAACCCATGTCTTTTAATCCAGTGCTTTAAGCACATCAGTGGGATTCTTGCACATAGACAGATAAGCAGGTAGAGAGAGATATTAAGACTGAAGTATCCAATTTGCATAATCTTAAAGTCCATTTGTCCACTTTCAAACAAAATAAACAGCACAACTATACTAAATAAACAATAACAACAACAACAACAAAACAAGGTGAGAGGGGAGATAAGGAATCACAGCAGGAAAATCAGACTCCTGATCTTGGAGTCTTTGTGAAATCTGCATAATGAGCAAAATTTAATTTAAAAAATTCATATCCTCAACTTCTCAGGAATAGTTAGATATTTTCTACTAAAAATTAAGCAAAACTGTGATTAATGTGAGACCACCCTGGCAAAGGCTATTGGATGATAATGGACCTCTTCATCTAACAGGAATGACAGAAACTTCTGGGGATGGGCTTGTGGGTTTAGAAACTAACTTTGTAATAGAGTCTTATGTAATACTATGTATCATTACATGGATACAAGTATAAGGGTAAATTGTATGCCACAAAGCAAAACAATGTTAAATAATAAAATCCTGGCATCCTCTTAAGATATTGGTCCCAAAGAGGTTCCATGGTGCTTGATGAATCTGGACCACAAAGCAGTGCAGACAATCAGTGGACTCAGTTAAGTGCTTTGTGCTGGCCGACTTCTGTCCCCCATTTGGGACATTTTGGTTGTTGTTGTCAACAGAGTAGCTAGTGCATTGATGAAGTTTAATGAGTATTCTTTATGAGTTTAGTGAGTATTCTTTTTAAAATTTCATATTGTTATTTTGACTTGCTAAAAGTTAATTTAAAATGAAATATTAAATGCTGACTTAATAATCTTTCAGGTAATGTAACATAGTAATAAGTACACAGCCTGGGGAAACTGATATCATCCTTGCTACCAAGTAACTTTAGTTGGAAAAATAATGTTATAAATCATCAAACAAATAGAAAACAAAATCAAGTGCTAAATCTTGTGAATCTCACTGAAGTGAAATAATGGTATTTTTTTAATCAGGATATCGTTCCCATAAAACTTCTCAGTTGAGCCCTGTTCTTTTTCCAGAAGAAGCCCCTTTAAACATTAAGAGGTTTGAAGATCTGAATTTAAAAGAAAGGTGAGAGGAATTTCTAGTCAAGATGGAGGTGTAAGTAGTACGCTTCGCCTCCTTGCACAACCAAAAGAAGGTCAACGACAAATTTAAAAACAAAAAGCAACCAGAATTGCCAGAAAAGCAAACTGTATGGAAGTCTGACGACCAAGGAGTTAAAGAAGAAACAATCATTCAGACTTCTATGGAGGGGTGGAGATGGGCACCTGGGGCAGAGAGGACTTGTGGCAAGATGGTGGCTGGCAGACTGGGTGGAGCAGGTGGTCCCACATTTGCATGCAGATAAATCGCAAGGAACAACTAGAGAGTGAGACTGGTTACTAATACGGGGAAATACAGCTTCAAAACCTCTGACTATAAAAACCTAAGGGGGTCGTGGCAGCATGAGAAACTCCCACCCTCACAGGAGAGTTCACTGCAGAGACCCACAGGGTCCTAGAACATACACAAACCCATCCACCTGGGAATCAGCACCAGAAGGGTCCAATTTGCTTATGGGTAACAGGGGAAGTGACTGAAAGCCAGTCAAAAGCTGAGCAAGTGGCATTGTTTCCTCTTGAATCCCTCCCCCACATACAGTGCCACAATGCAGTGATGTGGCTTGCCCCAC